GGAGGGGAGTGTTGTCGGTCCTGGGGCCTGAACGCTGGGCCTGGGCGCTGTCCCTCAGCTCTTCAGCTCAAGGCTAGCGCTCTACCACTTGAGCCACAGCCCCACTTCTGGCTTTTTCTGCTTATGTGGTGCTGAGGAATGGAACCCAGGGCCTCATGCATGGGAGGTAAGCCACCTTCCCAGCCCTGTGTTTTTGTTTTTTTTAAGTGTGTGTGTCTGTGTGTATCTGTATGTCTCCATGTGTCCTGCTAGTCCTGGGGATTGAACAAAGGGCCTAGGTGCTGTCTCTGAGCTTTTTTTGCTCAAGGCTAGTACTCTACCACTTGAGCCAAAGCTCTGCTTTGGCTCTTTTGGCACATAATTGGAGATTCATCTCACATACTTTCCTGCATGGGCTGGCTTCAAACTGTGATTATCAGCTCGCAGCCTCCTGAGCAGCTGGGATTACAAATGTGAGCCATCAGCTCCCAGTTGTGGTTTATTTTTCATCACGAAAAAGGTGTGGAAATATCATGAGCCTCCATTTGTTCATTGCTTGTTTTCAACCATTTCCCATCTTTTTGTTGTGTTCACTTGTCCTTTTCTATTTATTTATTTTTATTTTATTTATTTTCTTGGTCGGTCTTGGGGCCTGAACTCTGGGCCTGGGCGCTGTCCCTCAGTCCTTCAGCTCAAGATTAGCACTCTACCACTAGAGCCACAGCTCCACTTCCGGCTTTTTCTGCTTATGTGGAAACGGACCCAGGCCCTCGTGCATGCAAGGCAAGCACTCAAACCACTGAGCCACCTTCCCAGCCCATCGCCTGTCCTTCTTTTTGGCCAAGGCTTTTTTTAAATAGTCTCAACACGGTGCCACATCTACCAGGTTTCTCATGCAACTGCCGCATGTGAACATTGGCTTACGGCATCAATGTCATTGGCTCACTTTACAAGGTTGACAGTGTTTTTATGATGCTTCGTTTGAATTATGGTCTGGTGAGGCCCAGGAGCAGCTTTTCTCTGCCACCTATCCTTTGGAGAGCACAGGCTGTGTTAGTCTCATCAGGTGACCTATTTCCTGTTCCTGTGTTCGTTGGTGGTTGCTGACTTCAGGCCTGCATTTCCTAGGTGACAGCTGTGACTTAAAGAGGTTCCTGTTAATGGGGCTGCAAGCTGCATGCCTGGGCCAGTGGGTCTGGAGTGGTGTCCCCTCTGTTCCTAGGTGGAGGTCTTTGCTTCACCACCAAGGGCTATTGGCTCCGGGAACACAGTAAGTCATTTCTGTTCCCATCTGGTGAAACCGCCATCACCCTGTCTGGAGAAAGAGCGTACCTGGCAGAGGTAGATGGGCTGGAAGGGTGGGAATCATTTTCCCTGCTGCCCCACTCTGACCTGCATCCCTGCTATCGGTGGCATCCTGTTCTGTCCCAAAGAGGAAGACAGGCCTCAGAGATGACTTGAGACTGACCAGGAGCACTCTTGTGCTTCTGCTACTGTGCGAGAATATAGGGCTTCTTAGTGGACCAGTCCTCTGGGATGGGTGCGGTCCAGTTAGGGTGTAGTGGGTGCAGTTGGTTCGTTAGCAGTGCTTCCAAAGTTAGAGACTTTTTGCTTAGGAGGAGCGAAGGACCATAAGCTGGGCACTGGTGGCTCACCCTTGTAGTAGTAGCTACTCGGGAGGCCACAATTGTTGCTCCTTCTCAGTGAAAACCTGTACTCTGTAGTATGCACCTGTTACCCTAGCTATGGAGATGCCCAACACAGGTGTATCACACCTGAGCAGGAAGTAAGACCCCCGCTCAGATACAATGAGCAAAAATCAGGGCTGGAGGTGTGATTCAGTAGTAAGAGTATCTTCTTATGAGCACAAAGCATTGAGTTCAAAACCTATTACCACCAAAGAAAGAGAAGGGCCATGGGAAGGAATTCAGAGCCTGGCCTGATGTCAGCATGCCTGATGTGACAGGTAGATCTGGCTCCAAGGCCTCCTTGGGTCTTCCTGGCTATTCTTGACTGGGCTGCAGGGTTTTCAACACAAGTGCCTTGCTGCTGGGGCTCTGTTGCTGTCATGTGGGTTTTCATTGAAGAAGGCTTTTGATAAGGATTTGCCTTAACAGCTGGCTTCCAGATCCTGGACTCTCCTGGACTCGGGTGAGCCATGTCCTGTGGCTCTCTTGTTTACTGTTCATTTTACTACTGGGCTGACTGGTTTTATCCTTACTCTACAACAGTGCCAGTGGCCCCTCTGTCTTCCTCTGTCCTGGCAGGAGAACAGTGGTGGGCCTCGCCCTCACACACACTTGCACAATGCCCTGTGGCTGTGTCCCAAGGCCAAAGCCACCTGGTCACCTTCTAAGCACTTGCTATGTCTTTCTGACTTAAATTAGGAGTCTGGTCTTCTGTTTAGCCTGAAGGGAAGGGAGGGCATGTCACTGGTTTAAGGTCCCAGAACTTAAGTCACACCTCATTCTGTGTGCTCTGGAAGTGCTTTGAACATGTGCTGCATGTTTGTGCCTTTTTCACAGAATGATTAAGTGTTCATACATGTAAATAACTGGGAGATTCACTCAAACAATCAGCATGCAGGTCCTTGGAGTCCAGCAGGACTGAACACCAGTAAAATGTGTTGGCACCTGGATCTTACTGAATCAGCAAGGATGCGCACGGCCATACATGTAGTGAATAGCAAGGAAGGGGACAAGAGTATTGACTGAAACTGTCTCCAGCGGTGTCTGCACATTGTCAGAGCTAGCTCCCTGATGGAATTGCCGTGCGGGATGAGCATTCAATGATGCTGAACTTTGTGAGGCTGTTTGTACTTGCAGCTCCCCTGGTGTCAGAGTACTAATTTATGTAAGGTCCCCCTCACTAAATCTCTTCCTGATTTAGGCATATGCTTAACTGAAGCTTCTTTGAGATTTTGCCTTTCAGAACATTCTCTGATAGTAAGTGTCCTATGGCAGCAAGTCACATCTGTAACTGTCAAATCTCAAATAGCAGATGTGGTGAGATGGTACCCCTGCATTCAGGAAGGCCAAGCCTGGCTGTCCTGTGGGGTGGACAGAGTGAGTACAGTTACTTAACACGAGCCGGTGAGCTTGTGGGAAGCAGAACTGCATTAGCTTTCACATCACTGTTCCAGCTTCTGGAAAAATAGTACTAGAAACCTAAATTACTTCAGAATATTTGAGTAGTGGCTTGGTTTTTAGAGTGCGTTTGAAGGAATTTGCACTTTTATTTCCACATTGATGATGGCGCGGGAGAGTTTGGAAACGATACGTGTCTGCCTTCCTGACCTCCTTTGACTCTGGTCCTCCCTTCCCCAGGCTACCGGCTCTCTGACCAGTTCCACGACATCCTCATCCGAAAGTTTGACCGACAGGGACGAGGCCAGATTGCGTTTGATGACTTCATTCAAGGCTGCATCGTCCTGCAGGTGACTGGGCAGCGAGCATCACGCGGGTTTTCTGAGGCTCACGGAGGCTGACGGGAGGACAGGAAGTGGGTAGCCAGCAGAACGGGGTGCCACCGGCATGTATAGAATTGCCTTATCTTTGGAGAAATAACTGGTGTTCTGTTCATAGTTTTTTATACCCTTGGATATACAGCCAGATGCTATATAAATACATTTCAGTTTGATTCCTGTAAGGTCACGAGCTGGAAAAAAGCTGTTGCCTAGTGATGGTGTAGCTATTATGATTCATAATGTCATGATATCATAGCACGAAGCATTGCATTTTTACAGTAATGGCTGGTGTGAACCTTGGTTGTCAGTCTTAAAAGTGTAGCACATAGTTAACTTACAGTGCCTAATCCTTGGTAATGATAGTAACCTACAGCCTGACTTATATTTGGTATACTATGCTTTTTATCATTATATAGCTGCTTTTGAAAAAGCTTATTACAAACACACTGTTTACCCTGGTAGACACCTAGATCTTAACCTTTATTGCAACCCTTATATGGAGAGGCCGTGCTGATTGATGGACCTATGCCCTCTGCTACCAGCCGACTCCAGAATGTTCTATGATGTGTACAGTCCTCAGGACATACATGGCCCTTGTTAGGTACGTGGAACAGTCTGCCTGCTGCCTTTAGTTAGATATCCAGGTTATAGCGTAGAACTTTGGAAATGAAGTGGATTGATAAACTTTTAGGTGTCTTTAAGACTTGTGGTGGAGTGCTTTAAACACAAGCGGTAGTGGCACAGCATAATGATGAGATTGAGTGATAGCCATTAGTGTAGGTGTGGTGCTTGTAATACCTCCCCGCACCACACTCCTTTTCAGCATGGAAGAGGTATTTCCCCATATTGCTACAGTAGTAAGTCCTTGTAGTTTGAGTCCAGGTTGAGGTCATGTCTGCTAGCTTCATACACATGGAGAAATAAGGGCCACACAGGGTTTCTGGATAAGATGTGGAATTTTGGAAAGCACTCTCAGATCTCTTCCAGTAATAGATCAGTGTTAATATCAGAATTAATAGATCAGTAAAAGTGCATTTTCTCTCAATTTGACCTGCTGGTTTAGCACTCTGTGATTTCTTTAAAAGTGATTATAGGCCTAGCCTGGTGGTATGTACTTATAATCCCAGAACCTGGGAGGCTGAGCCAGGAAAAATGTGAATTTCATTGGAGAGTAGATCCATTAGGATTCAGGCATCACACCTCTGAAATGGGAAGGCCTTGCTTTGTCTTTCCCCTACCCCCTCCTCACTCAGTTCCTCTTAGGTGGTCATGGGACATGAACTCTGGGCCTGGGCGCTGTCCCTTAGCTTCAAGTCTAGTGCCCTGCCACTCTGAGCCACAGTGCCACTTCCACTTTTCTTAATGGTTTATTGGAGATAAAGAGTGACATGGACTTTGCTGCCCAGGCTGGCTTTGAACCACAGTCCACGGATCTCAGCCTCCTGAGTAGCTGGGAGGAAAGGTGTGAGCCAACAAGGCCTGGCCAGGTCAAAACACTTTTTTTTTTTTTTTGCTGGCCCTGGGGTTTGAACTCTGGGCCTGGGCTCTGTCCCTGAGCTGCTTTTGTTCAAAGCTAGCACTCTACTACTTGAGCCACGGCACCACTTCTGGCTTTTTCTTCTTATGTGGTGCTGAGGAATTGAATCCTGGGCCTCATGCATGTGAGGCAAGCGCTCTACCACTGAGCCCCCTGCCCGGCCCCTGGTGGAGCACTCTTAAGAGGAGCATTGTGGAATTTCTCTATGGACTGTTTCTAAAGTGTTGTGGAGTTTCCAGTTTTAATTTTCCCATAAGTAATAAACTTCTGACCCTATGTTTCTGCCTAATTGTGGGCCTGTTGGCCTTCAGCAGCTTGGGTGACACAGTCAAATCCTCTGGGTCGCTCCAGCCCCCAAAGGCCCAAGTCCTCCATGTGAGGTGATTTTTGCCTCCCAATAGCCAGCACGGGACTCACCTGTTCCTGAGTCCAGCGTCCCACTCTGACCGTGGCCTTAACCACTCGACAGAGTTGGTGGAATCTAAAAGAAAATAGGCCATGCCTCTGTAATTCCAGCCACATCAGAGGTAGACAGGAAGATCGTGGTGTAAGGCCAGCCTGGGTAAATATTAGGGAGAGCTCACCTCAAAAAAAAAAAAAAAGCACAGGCACAAGCCAGCTTTTCTGGAGGCCAAATTAGGATCCCCATCTGAAGCTGCCGTAGCAAAGTGCAGCACCTATCTGGAATGCAAACACAAGCAAAAGGACCAAGTGGTAGAGCCACTGACTAGCAAGCATAGCCAAGTGTTCAGTCCCCAGTGCTGAGAAAGAAAAGCTGTAGCCTACAAGTGAAAATATCCTTTCTTTCTTTTTTTTTTTTGGTCATGGGCCTGAACTCTGGGCCCGGGTGCTGTCCCTCCGCTCTTCAGCTCAAGGCGAGTGCTCTACCACTTGAGCCACAGTGCCACTTCTAGCTTTTTCTCCTTTTGTGGTGCTGAGGAATCGATCCCAGGAATCGAACTCATGCATGCAAGACAAGCACTCTACCACTGAGCCACCTTTCCCAGCCCCTGAAAATATCCTTAAAAGTGTTTTCCTTTGTTTTTTTTCCAAGAAACAAGTTTTTTTGAAGTCTTTTTTTTTCTTTTATATAAAATGACATGGAAAGCGGTAGGAATCCTGGGGAAATACGAATAGAATATAGATGGGGAAATGATGGAAGGCAACATTGGTCAATATGTGTTGTATTCTAAATTGACGTTGAATTGAAACCACCCTCTATACAATTATTTAAAGATTATTTTTAAAGACATTTAAAAAAACCAAATAGAATATTAGAGAAAGAAAATTTACCCATTCTTTGTTTTTTGTTTTGTGGTGCTGGGATGTGAACACAAGACCTCATACATGTGCGGCAAGTGTTCACCTACAGCGCCTCTCACCATTCTCTGAGTCAGAACTGACGACTGCTACTGTTTGTGCCGTTCTGTGCCACTTAACCACAGGGAAGCATTTCTGTGGGATGCAGCACCAGAGGGTTTTGTTACTGTGCATATAGCATATATGCTGTATGTGTACAGCAAAACTTTCTGTATGTCTGTGCTTCATGGCACATCTGCTATTCAGCTTTCTGTGGTTACCACAGGTGTCAGCTGTTGCACAGTTGTTTTGGGTCTGGTTAGGGTTAGTGTCCTGATAGGAGTGATGGTAGAGAAGCTCCCTCTCATGATGGTCAGAAAGCAAAGCTGGGACAGGGGCTCCAGTATCCTCTTCTAGGGCCTTAACTTCCTTCCACCAGCCCTTGTCTCCCACAGGTTCCACTGCCTATGGTTCTATATCCTGGGAACCAAGACTTTTCTAACACGTGGGCTCTGGGAGACATTCCTGGCCCACCTAGTACCAGTTGTTAATCATATCTGCAGTCTTCCACTGACCAAAACACAGGTTTTGTGGTGTGTGACTGGAGTGTTTGTGCTAGTATTTTTCATACAGAAACATTTAATGGCTGACACATGGGAGTTGGAGGCCAAATGAACTCTAGTAGGTCTTGATGCATTGGAGCTGCTGTATTTTTCTGTTGCCACTTGGAGTTGACTTGTATTTTCTTGGCACTAAAGTATATTTTACGTCCATTCAGAAGTGGCGCATGCTGTGTTAGGGTGTAGGGTGGTTTCCTCTCTGCTCCTGACCTGGCCTGCTCTTCAGGCTATTAAAGGTAAAGGGTTAGAGGGTGGGATAGGCCCTGCATGGTGTGTACACAGCCTGTGCTGCTGTCGGCAGTGCCTAGGTTGGGCCTTTTTCCCTGTCCTGAGCTTTCCCTGGCCCAGGCCCCCACCACTAGCAGAGGTGAGTTGTCAGGAGGAGCTGTCTGCTGAGTGGCGTGGACTAGGAGCAAGGGCCCCGTTTGGGCCTGGTCGGGTTGGACCTGCCCCACCCTGTGACCTTTCTCCTTGGACTTTGCTACCCTGTGGTCTGGAAATGCTGACTATGGTGCTCAGGGCTTGTGCCTCCCTGCGTCCATACCATTGCTGATTGTCCCCCTGGGAGTTAAGGAAAAACCTGTGCTTCTGATTCATATTGGGTCCCTATGTGTTTTTTACATAAGCCTGTTGTTTTCTGTTCAGCCAGTACCCATCTAAATCCTTGTTCTCCTAGAGGCTGACAGATATATTCAGGCGCTACGACACGGATCAAGATGGCTGGATTCAGGTGTCTTACGAGCAGTATCTCTCCATGGTCTTCAGCATCGTGTAACTACGCCTTGTGAATATCAGCACCGTTTGGGAAGAAAATGCCAACCCCCTACCTGGGGCAAATCAGGACACAGATGCAGTTAGATTATTCTTCCTTCTGTGGGTTTTCTATAATTAATACTTGTGACCCGACTGTACATACACGTTTAAACCGATTAGTGCTATTGCAGCTGTAACAGTAGCTTCAGTGATATGATTACAAACCTTGGCTTTGCTGACTGGGCCGTGAGGTAAAGTGTAATAATGATTCAGATAGTTTACGTGCAAGCAAAACATGTATCATGTCCTTTTCTCGACATCTTCAGTTCTGTAATTGAAAATGCTTCCACTAGAATAGAATTTTCGAATTATATGGAATGTTATGAGTAATAATGGAACTTGCACAGAAACTTTTCATGTGCCTTACTTTTTTAAGAGAGTATTTATTATATTCATTGAAACATACAAAATATGCAATAAAGTAATGATACAGAATACTGGACTACATTTTGGTTTCTCTCATTAAAAATTTTTTTCATGTCTCCAACATGCACCATCTGAGATGCGCACACATCTGAACGTGTGTGATGTTGACCCATGCTTCGGACACCACTGGAGGGTGTGGGTGGTACATTCAGATTTCGGGGAAGGGCATGAGGACATTGGGGTTCTGTTAGGCGCCAAAGGTAGAAAGGTACCCATGGGCTTTCTGGAGACTAGAATCTGAGGGTTTCTTACCTGGGTGTACAGTGGTGGGATCATGGGGGGGCCTAGGGTATGACCCCAAGATGGCAGTCTCTGGAGAGACACATGCCAATTGTACTGCAGACATGACTAGAGTCATGGGTACCACTAGGTACCACTAGGTACGGTCAGCTTCCACGAGTCTAGCACTTGGTAATACCTAGCTGTTTTCTTCCTTTTTACTTTTTTTCCCCAGTCCTGGGGCTTGAACTCAGGGTTGAGGCCCTGTCCCTGAGCTTTTTGCTCAAGGCGAGCACTCCTACCACTGAAGCCACAGCACCACCTCTTGTCTTTTTTTGTGTATGGGGTACTGAGGAATTGAACCCAGGCCTTCATGCATGCTAGGCAAGCACTGTACCACTGAGCCACCGTCCCAGCCCTGTCATACTACCTTTGTGGGAGGGGGCGGGCACGGGGGGCTGGGTCATGGGGCTTGAACTCTGGACTTGGGTACTGTCTCTCAGCTCTTCAACTCAAGGCGAGCGCTCTACTGCTTGAGCTACAGCGCCACTTCCGGTTTTCTGGTGGTTTATTGGAGATAGGAGTCTCTTGGACTTTGCTGCCCAGGCTGGCTTTGAACCTCGATCCTCAGATCTCAGCCTCCTGAGTAGCTAGAATTACAGATGTGAGCCACTGGTGCCCGGCTTGTCTTACTGTCTTATACTGGCACTTTCACCTACAACTGTTTCCATTGGGCAGCTATACCTATGGAAGTTTCTTATTGATGAGCCTCAAGCATGCAGGTCCCAGTGTGGGGTCCGCCCAGCTTTGTCTAGCTCTTCTTGCCACATACATGTCTTTAGAGAACCTATGTAACACACCTGAGTGTACCTGTTCCACATTCCTGAGATGTGCACGTATACTAGAGGTATATGATGGAAAAGGGGGATGCCTTCCCTATCTCACAACCATGTGCATCTATACCATACACTTAAAGATCATCTACATGTGGTGTATTTATTTCACACTTTGCAGGAAGACCTGAGCTGTTTGACACGGTCCGGGCTACGGGAGCAAATTCAGAATGGCCTGAGTCAAGGATTCCAGCCGTGGAGGCATGGACTCGAGTTCTGTGATTTGTAGGGTAGGGTCTTCTCTGTGATCTGGAAGGCCAGGAGGGCACGGGGCTCAGGGGTGTGGGAAGGCAGTGCCCACCCAAAGGCAAGCAGGTTCCCAGCTGTTCCCAAGTTGTCCCAAAAAGACCTGGCATCCAGGGAGGGCCGCCAGTGCCTTCCCTAAAGCAGGGTGTCTGGGGTCTAGCAGCCAGAGCAAAGAGGCCAGACTCAGGTGTCGGAGAACAAGAGTGCTGAACTGGAGCTACTGCCACGGTCAGTGCAGCCACACAGACCTGCCCTCACTGAAGAATGGCTGGAGTAAGTTGTCTGTCCGTGTGTCCACTGCAGCTTTTGTCCTGTTGTTCCTTTAGAACTGCATAGGGTGGAGTAAGGATGGATGGAGCTGGTTAGGGATTGTGGATAGCTGGTGGTAGTGTCCACAGGGACCCAGCATTGCTCCAGAACGCTCTGTAATGCACTGATCCTGTATCACAAGGGGGAAAACATTTTTATTTATTTTTGGGTACGGTTGTGGGGCCTGAACTCTGGGCCTGGGCGCTGTCCCTCAGCTCTTCAGCTCAAGGCTAGCACTCTACCACTTGAGCCACAGCGCCACTTCCAGCTTTTTTCTTTCTGCTTATGTGGTGCTGAGGAATGGAACCCAGGGCCTCATGCATGGGAGATAAACACTCTACCACTGAGCCACCTTCCCAGCCCCAGGAAGACATTTTTAAAACGTTCTCATGACAAGCCAGTGAAATTCCCTCTGGAGACTCAAAAAAGATCTTCCTTTCATTTGGGGGCAACCTGATCTCTTCTCAGTTTTACTTAATGTCCGCATATAGAATTAGAGCGGAACCAACTTCCTCCTTCCACAGGTCTGTACCCAGACATACCTGGCCTCTAATCAAGCACAATTGCTAGGGATTATTTCTTGACTGTCTTGCATTTTATCTGATGCCTACGTGTCTCCTTCACTGATGTGTAGGCAAGTAAATCATGAAGTCTTTGGAAGAACTTAGGCTGGGATTCCAAGGAGGGGATCTCTTGGCATCTTAGATGAGGATACCACATCCATTCAAAACAGAATGGGCTTCTAGAAAAAAATGACAAAATGGTGCATAATTTAGGAATTAGACACAAAACATCTGGAAAGGTTAATGCAGAGGAAAATTACAAGAAACACATTTTCAAAAGGAAAAAGAAAACTCCCAGAGCTCCGTGTGAGGCTGGTTTGGAAAGTGCCAGCTCTGTCCCAGAAGAAGAGACCTCAAGATGGCAGCAGAGGTCCATCCAGGAGACCGAGACGGGAGGAAGGGCTTCCCTAGGTCTGGTCTGGGAGCCAGGCTCAGGCTGCGTGGGGAAACCGTGTTGTGTGCAGGCTCAGGTAACCTAAGTACACAAGTACACTACCCACTGTTCCTCCGTCTAGGGATTGGGAAGAAAGTGACCCTCCGGAGACCAGGCAGTCAGGGCCCAGGGGCATTGCCAGAGGGAGCAGATGGAGATGGAGGGAGGTGAGGGGCAGGGCTGGCCACAGGAGCAGGGCAAGACCAGCCCTGATGAGCCCGAGATGAGGTGATGTCAAAGGTCAGGCTGGAGGAGGATGCTGACATCTCCGTCCTGTGCCCAGGCAACCTGGACCCTACCCTGGGTGAGATGTGGAATCCACCAGGGCAGTGTCCGGCAAGAGAACTCAGAGACAGCACACGGCCGGTGGCCACGGCTGGGGTCCCCACGGGGCAGCCACCCAGCTGGGGTCCTGGGTATTGGTTTGGGTCTGCAAGGCTGGGGATCTCAGACCAGGGTGGAGGGTGGAGGGTGGACGGTGGATGGTTGAGGGTGGAGGATGAAGGGTGGAGGGTGGAGGATGAAGGGTGGAGGGTGGATGGGGGATGGACAGTGGGGGTGGAGGGTGG